TATTTGTCAATTGCAATTTTATATTTTTACTTTGTTTGATTGAAAAAAAATCGGTTTTCAAAACCCTAACACGATTGTGAAAGAACTTCAAAGCCATTGATTGTTTACAAGTGACTCTGGGTACACAGTAATGACACCTATCGTCTTTTTCACTGACCACTATACCTTGTTTATTTTGTGACAGAGAGCGACCGTGTCCTATCTGAGGCTGTTTGAAATAACATTTTCTCTTTGTGAGAGAACCGAATTTTTTCAATCAAACAAAATAAAAGTATCAAAAAAGCTATTGACGGGTTAATATTGTGCATAATGAGACGATTATTTTGATATCCAACACGGAAGTAAAATAATTAAAAGTAGTATAAATATGCTTCAAAAAGACTTTGAGAGACATTTTAGCAGAAACTTGTTTACATTAAATAAGCCAAATAAATCCAACTTTCGGGATTGTAATTAATTTTTCAAAAAAAGAAATAGATAAATGTATTGTTCTTTTTACAATGATAAAATACGTGCTTTAAATCAGTTTTATTTATTTATTCACTGACCATTTAAAAATCAATTATTGAATTGATTTTAAAAACTTTTTTTTTTTAATGCAGCATTACTCTTGTTGTGTAGGTGTTTGTGTGTAATTTTTTTCCCAACAGGTACAAAAAAGCCATTCCAATTATTTTATGGATTAAACAGGTGTTAGAAAAATAAATAAATTGTAAATAAATAAAATAAATAATTAATTTATCACCATGAAAATGTCAAACTCATTAGTTATATTTTTTTAAATTGACAAAACAACAAAATAATCAATTATTTATATCCCCGAAAATGAGATTTCTAAGGGTTTTTTGTATAAATATTTTTATCCTAAACTATGTTACAAAGTATTTTTTAAGCATATCAAAACAGATTTCAGTTATTTTACGTCCATGATGGATATCAAAATAATCGTCAGATTATGCACAATTTTTATTTGTCAATTGCAATTTCATATTTTTACTTTGTTTTGATTGAAAAATAAAATCGGTTTTCAAAACCCTAACACGGTTATGAAATAACTTCAAAGCCATTGATTGTTTACAAGTGACTCTGGGTACACAGTAATGACACCTATTGTCTTTTTCACTGACCTCTATACCTTGTTTATTTTGTGACAGAGAGCGACAGTGTCCTATCTGAGGCTGTTTGAAATAACATTTTCTCTTTGTGAGAAAACCGAATTTTTTCAATCAAAACAAAATAAAAGTATCAAAAAAGCTATTGATGGGTTAAGATTGTGCATAATGAGACGATTATTTTGATATCCAACACGGAGAAAAAATAATTAAAAGTAGTTTAAATATGCTTCAAAAAGACTTTGAAACACATTTTAGCGTACAATTGTTTACATAAAATTAGCCAAATAAATCCAACTTTCGGGTATAAAATTAATAATTTTGTTTGTGTATTCAATTTAGAAATAAGAAAAAAGTTTTTATGCAATGATTGATTACATGCAATTAATAAGATTAATTCTTTTTTAAAAGAACATCAAAAAGTTAAAAATAAAACAAGAATTACCCCGACTGTGTTTTGTTTTTTTTTTTTTCACAAAAGTTACAAAGTCACTCAAAGTATTTTAAGGATTAAATAAGTGTTCGCAAAATAAATAAATAAATTAATTAACTAATAAATCAAACCAAAGAATAATTAAATAATTAATTCTAAAAGTTGATAGATAAATAATCTTTGAAGCAATGATTAATTAATTCTTAATAGTTATTTCAGAGTTATAAAAGAACACAATAAGTCTCTTAACAAATTAAAAAAAATACTACTATGTGTTTAAAATAATATTCAAAAATTTCTTAGGGTAAGTAACTCTGTGTACTAAATTGATAATCCCACATCTTAGGTAACCGTACAGTGCTCTGGGAGTTTGTAAACTTCTTCTTTTTGCTTCAATGAACATATACAGGGGCGTACTGGGGCATATACTGGGGTTTACCGTAGTTGTCTGTAGGAAACAGTAGCCATACAGTGGCATACTGTAGGCGTATCGGGGCCTACTGTATGTAACTGTGGCATGCTGGGGATACATACAGTGGCATACAGAGATTTACTGTACATACAGAGCTAGCATACCGTAGCATACTGTAGATATACCGTAGATTACTGTGAAAATGCTGTAGGATACAGAGAAAGACAGTGGATTTTCATACGGACAGGGGTTTTAAAAGCCAGTAGTGTACTGGGCCAATTTCAACCAAACTTGCCACAAAGCATCCTTAGGTGAAGGGGATTCAAGTTTGTTCAAATCATGACCCCCAGGGGTAGGGCGGGGCCACAATGGCTGACCAAATTTTATATAGAAATATATAGGAAAATTCTTTAAAATTCTTCTTAAGAACAGCGAAGAAATAATTGGTCATATTTATATGGAAGCATCCCCAGGTAGTGTAGATTAAAGTTTGTTCAAATCATGACCCCTGGGGGTAGGGCGGGGCCACAATGGCAGACCAGAGTTTTATATAGAAATATATAGGAAAATTCTTTAAAAATCTTCTTCCTAAGAACAGCAAAGCCATAATTGGTCATATTTATATGGAACCATCCCCAGGTAGTGTAGATTCAAGTTTGTTCAAATCATGAGCCCCTGGGGTAGGGGGCCCAAACTTTTGGATTTAAACTTTTCAATAGTATTGTAATCCAATTTCTCCTTTTTCCTAGCCAAAATGCTCAGGTGAGCAATGTGGCCCATGGGCCTCTTGTTTTTCAATAATTTTATACTTAAAAAAACATTGATGTATGATTTTGAATTATAATTTATGATGTATGATTTTGAATCTTTTAAAAATCATTTACAGTGAAAGTGATATGAGTTCAACCTTATACTGGGATGATATGAGTTTGCTATACATGTATCTACATTTGTTCATATTTTATGTTATCTTGATAAATATGCTATGAAAATATTGACTTTGGAAATGCAGTTGTAAAATTCATGACTGCATTTCATTTACCGGTACCAAGTAGTCATTACAATTATTTTCTTTTGCAGATGTAACATTATCTCCAGACATTTGGGTGTCCCTTGAGCAGAGAATTGTCAAAAATTGAAGCATTCAATAAAGAAGATTAAGAAACAGAATGTGTCCAGTTGTTTGTTCATCAAAAGAATAACTTGGATAATCATAGTGGTGCTTCCTCAAAATCTTCATGTGTTCAAATTAAGATTAAGATAAAGCTCATTAAGTCATTTGCTGGATCAGATTTTGAGATTGTACTTATTGCATCTTTTTGAATATCAGTAACCGTGAAACCTTGATGATTAGTTGTACAAATTCATATACAGATATAATTATTAGAATTTCCTAATACTTTTCCTCAAATGGATTAAAAGAATTGAAAGTCCTATGTACTGTGAACATCACATGGATTTGATATGAATATCACATAAAATTCACACGAAATTCATATGAAAATCTGTAAAGAAAGTAGCAAAATATTCATATGAATTTCGTGCGAATTTTTTTTCACATGATATTCATGCGAATTTCATGTAAAAATCACATGATATTTTTATGCGAATATCATGCGACTTGTTTTTCGTCTCCTTTTCATGCGAAGAATTCGCACGATATTCGTGCGAATTTCATATGAAATTCATGCGAGCCACTTTTGCCTGTGTAGGGAGATTGTAATCCCCAACCCTTCTTTTGAATTTGCATTGTTATTTGAATAAGACTGCATACATATACTAAAAATGACTTTGAACATCCCCCCTAAGAAAACATCCCCCCTAAGAAAACATTGACCCCAATACCCCACTATTATTGTTTTTTTTTCATTTTTTTTCCCTTGCTTTTCAGAAAATTCTGGGCTTGAATTTTTTTTTGACTTGGATGTGAACCCCCGTTCAGAAAAAAATCTAAATCTATTCCAGTAACTATTAAAATGTCACATCGACAACGGTTGATAACTTCACAATCTGACTGTGGCATGCGATCTTTGACCCTTTTTGATCTTTAACCTAATCATATGCGGTTTATTTTACTCCAATCTATGCTTAAACTTGTACTTACCGAGTCTGTCATAGGTCCTGTCAACACTATAAAAATATTTAAATGCAATTAAAACACAAAATGAATTATTTCAATGCACACCAAAATGTGCCATATGCTTATAATCCCATTCAGCAAACATTCAATCGCCTTAGCAGATGAAGTTGCAATCGGCCGAGGTGTGCCGAGTGATGCCTAGTCTAACAATATGATAATGTGTGACGCAACCCAATGTGGTGTAGATATTTTCCAAAAGGTGTTTAGATGTAAACAAAAAACATATTTTAAATTAACTCACAATAAACAATGTTTTAACTACTTTCCCATCGAGCCTTTGAAGAAAACGTACGTATCGTGTGTTTGTGGTGTTGGAGTGGGGGGTATAAGTAAATTTAAAAAGCTTTTATTATGAGCAAAATATTTATCAAAATCTAATTCACACCATTAAATTACTTCTGTTTTGTCAGACTGGTAATGAATTTAGCATATAAAATACACATAAGATGTTCTGAGTCATAGGTCACATAGGTCACAGGGTCTGAGAATTTCTGCATACTTTATTTGACGAATACATGTTCAATGTAAATTATATAATTATTTTTTCCTTGGAAAGCCCAATACGTAGGAGTGTGTATTTAGAAGCAAACACATTAGTACGGCTATTAATGTCTCCTGAGAGCATCTAGTTTTCAATATAATGTGATGATTAAAATTTGTTTTACCTATATCTAAAATTCAAATGGTAGATTGAGCTTTGTTGATCTAATCTTCAAAAAGGCAAATATGACAGCCAAAATTATCTATACATGTACTTCCTGTTGCACAATGGCACAAGTAATATACCTAAGTATATTTTTGTATTGAGAAGCTGTCTTTCATTAAATTTGTCAATAGATTTTTTTTTTCAATTAGGTCAGTATCCAAAATATTTAATTTATATGTTTGTTTTATCTATGATAGATTATTTTCACTTTTGGCTCCAGTCTATCAAGACTTACTGCGATGAAGGCAACACACATCCAACAGATCTTGGTACTGCAAGCCAAGGAGTTTTCCATCCTGTAATTCTTGTTGCCTCCCATAAAGATAAGCAGGTGAATATAAGTAGTTATAACAAATAGGTACTAAACATTTTAATGTAATTTACATTCAGCAACAGTATTCTCTTTTTCAAAGAATCTGTAAAAAGTGGGAAAACGTTAGTATGTGGTAGTATTCGGTGCCATTTAACAACTTAAACATTGTAAATGAATTGTTTTAATGCTGGAAAATATACCAGCAGAGCAATTACTATAAAAATCAAAGTACTGAGAGTACTGAAAAGCGGTAAGCATGCTTTCATCTAATATGTACCAAAAAAGTGCATGAAATGATGATATTTAAGTATTCATATTTTTGTCCAATGTCATCAGAGATAAAAAAAAAAGACATTCTGTTTTTGTAATACTTTACTTAATAGTAAAACCAATAACATTCCAAACTGATGTCACATATGGATGAAATCTGATTAAAATTAGATGTTTCGAATCTCCTACTGCTTCTCGAACATCTAACAACATCCTATTTGGGGTCATAAAGAGTGAATCTTTGATTAGCCGAAGAAAATGGTTCCTCCGAAATCCTGGCTTATAGTTCAGATGGGTTTCTTGTTTTCACCACCGACCCAAAACACCCAAGGAGTTTTGAAGTAAACAAAATGTGCATTGCAAAAGTTGTGTTATGTATATGACGTGTGGGGTATCATGTAAAGTTTGTGCTCTTTCGATTGCATTATTCACGTTCAGATGCTAGACTGCAGACTATACATGAAATTTATTCCAAAATTAATTTAATTCAACGTAAGACAGTATCAATAATAGCATCTATTAATTAAAGAATAGATGCCTTTATTTTATAAGGAAAACTTTGTTGCTGCTATTTGAGTTGGGTTAACTATAAATTAGATCGGGTTCGGGATATCTAAAATTCCCCCTCTTTGCCCTGGATCCGAAGAACGAAAGGTATACGATTTTTTGTAGCAGACAGAATTTTCAAAAAATATGCTTTCAATCACGATTGCTGCCAATATATTAAAATAAAGGTGTACAAAATCATGTTTGTTTTATTTTCCTCTATATAAATAATGATGATCTGTAGGCGTGGGATTAATTTGAAAATTGTTTACCGAGGCTTGAATCTACATGGCCAAAGTGTTTGTGTTTACTAGTACATGAATTCATAATCGAAAGGTCGCTCTGATGTGACCCCAAATGGGATGTTAGATGTTTGAGAAGCGGTAGCTGATTTGGAACATTTAAGTAAAATTTAATTGAATTGAAATGCATGTTTCATAATTTAAACATGTGATTTCTTCAGTTTGAAAGACAGGAAGTGCATTTTTAAAAGTTCTCTCTTGGTGGCATCCAATCGATCTCTGGATGAAAACAATTATTTTGATGCTGAAAATTTAATTGTCTTTCATGCTCTATTGAATCTGAAAATAGGTAATTGTAAAGCCTACTATATCAAACAACTAAAAAAAATGACAAGTTAAATTCTTTAGATTAATGGATTTGGAGTAGTGTAGATGTACAGTAGTGTACAGCTGGCTAGTCAGAAAAAAAGGTTGGCTGAGCAGAGACGCAGTACAGTTAAGGTGCGCAAAGGAAATATCGACGAAATTTTGTATTTAAAAATGTATTCGTAATCGGGATGGTGATTATTTTTAGTACATTATTTATATCGGATAATTGTAATTATGATTAATAAGTACATATCGAGGACAATTATATTTTATATTTAGACTAGTCACGTGATGCGGCAGTCACGCAATTTTAGTACATTGACTAGAAGTATTGATGTTACATATAAATATCACTAGTGCAAGGGCATAACCAAGTTAAATTTCCAAGTTTAGTATATAAATATTCTCAACACGCATTATAGTTTCTAAAAAGTGCTGCGATCCTGTCTAGATTCTGCAATTTCATTCTTGATATTATATTTGTATAATCGAATGCTATATTTTTTGCTGGTCAGCGGCATAAAATATTGATATAATTAAACTGTTTTTAAGATTTCATCAGGATCGAAGCACTTTTCAGATACCTTAATAGATCTTTAGTTGAAATGCAAAAGCTTACATTGATCCATAGAGTGTATGCCCTTGCACTAGATCGATTTATTAAGACCCCCCACATTACCATTCGATGTACTTGCATACAAATATACGGCAGTGTCAATTAAATACGTAATGTACAGAAAATATATTAATAAAACAGTGAAGAAGACATTAAATTCAAGTTATTGGCCCATAGAATATCTTTAAATAATATTTCATTCAATTAGAGAATACATACTTTTTAGAGAAAATATTACTTGATCTGTCTCTCATTGCATACATACTACGTCACGTTGTAAGAAATGACGTCATATTGACAAGTGCATTGCGATCAGTGACTTGTTTATAACTTGTTATGTGGAATTTAACTAACGACAAAACAACACGCTGTAGTAAGTTTTTATGTAGTTTGATGATTTCTTACTGGTTAAACTAGCAGATAAACTCATTTTGTGGTATTTTAAAGAAATTTGTATGACGTATATTGTGTATGATGTCATAGTCAAGTTTTCCCATACAGATTAGACTCCTCCTGCTTTTTGTAACCTTAACTGTGTTGCGTCGACTTTGTAAATGATTTGATATCAGAGAGCTCCAGATGTGTAGGCTCACTGCGGGTGTAACCTGTCAACGAGGGATTCTTACTTCTTCTAGGCAACGGATCCCATCTCTTGAACTTTCAGGAGTCAGCTTTTCATCTTAAATCGATCATTGATCATTCCGTATTTTGATACAGATACTGAATACTTCCGTTTAGTAATATTATGAACTGCTACTTCTTCGGGAAGACTGGCGAGTGAACAAGATTATCAAGCTTTATGAAATGTACTTTATTGACTTTTCAAACAAGTAGATGTTAGAATAAAGTAAATGATATATGAGAATCATTTAAAAGAAGTCTTTCACAATATGTCTAGATAAGGACAAATAATGTGTATTTGCCATTTACTCTTCATGCAACATTGTTCTCAAATAAAACATGTGAAAAGGAAAGTTGTCTAATCAATCAATTATAGTATTTAAAAATTCAAATGTACACTAAAAGTCAGTGTAACTTAAGGAGTTATCAGTGTCACTTTCTTCAATATGTCGGTTAAACAATATACAATGATTTCTTTTCTATCAATGTGCCTCTAAACACCTGTATTTTAATTTAATCCTTCTTAAACGCTCAAAATGATAATCGACAAATTGGACAAATTCAAATTTAAAAGTATTTTCTCAGCTAATAATACGTTCCTAAGGAATTGATCAACTTTTCAAAACTTATAAATAAGCATTAAGTATATATTTTAAAATTTTTGCTAATTGCCAAGATTTTTCATACCTTATCCATCTGTGAATAATAATATCAGTTGATTTTTAGAAGAGGATCACAATGCCGATTAAAATTAATATATAATTGTCCATTTTTTTTTTCAAAATTAATTTTACTGCTTAAGTGCTTAGTTATTTTTTTCAAAACTAAAAGTAAGTGTTCCCTTGTGATCGTTTGTCATAAATTATCAAATAATAATAATAATAATGATTGGATTTATATAGCGCTTTTCTAGCATAAATGCTACTCAAAGCGCTTTACAATCATTATTACCCCAGCAGACCTTAACAATCCAGAATCTTTCTCAGTGCAAGCTGCCGTAATCAGCGCTAGAACACTAACATTCTGACAATATCTTTCACTGTCTATAGCCAGGTACCCCTTTTACACTTGGGTGGAGTGAGGAAATTCGTGTAAAGTGCCTTTCCCAAGGACACAACGTCGACTTGCCGCGGCCAGGATTCGAACTCGCAACCTTTCGGTTTGGAGTCCGGCACCTTAACCACTAGACTACCGACGCCACATTTCAAAGACGGAGTAGAGAATTTACCCCTGGGAGCAGAGCTTTTATAATCTGTTTATTAGACAGAGAAGAAAGAAAAGAAAACAAACGGTACATTGTGGAGGTAATCCTATTGTTTCCATAAAAAAACGTTCAAAAAGGGTCAAACGTACAGATGTATTCGGTGATTTTATAAAAGCGTTTTTCATGTATTACTGAACTTTATAAATGGTGTTTCTTAATACTTTGGGAAGGAAAATCAAACTCGATCGAGAGATTTGCTGATGTTTTTCCAGTCTGTAATACCCTTCAACCTGCTGTTTAATTAACCGTATCGTTCAACTTTCATAAATAAACTAACAGTTGCTATAAATCGCGATCGCACGATGTACATGTAATAAGGACCAGATTCTCAGTTCTTTGAAGTTAGTGTTCTAATTATTGTCAATGCTTTGGTGAATACTCGTAAAAATTCGATTTAATCGTTATAATAGCCACTCTTCGTACACAGCTTATTGTCAATCTCTCACCAGGGGGCGTATTACGCCAACAGTATACAAATCATGGGAAGCGCTTTGCTGAAGTTACCGTTGTCGAAGTCTCCGGTTTTGGTTGCAGAAGGATAAGGTAACGTGCCATAAAGTGATGTCGATAGGTAGCACCTTATGAAAATTTCCGGTTTTTGGAGGCCCATACCATAAAGCGGTTAGCTAGCTAACTAGCTAACGGCTTAAAAAAAACATGTTCACGAAATAATCTTTGTTTTTACAATGTGATGTCAGAATATTAGTTGAAATCCTATTTAACATTTGGGCACGGCTTCCTCTCTTCCTTTCAGTGAAGAAAAGTATCATCTTTTTGCTTTTTCAACCATAAATATTTAGATACAAGTCTGAGTGTCGTCTTCAAATTTTCCTTGACTTTGTTTAGACGTACTTGTCACGACGTCCTTCAATGTGTTGAATTCCTTTGGAAAAAGCAATAATTTACTTACATGTTTCTTATCGCTTTAGAAATATTTTCTCTCTGGAGTTCCAAATGAACGATAAATAAATACTGAAAAAAGATGACCAAAAGTAATTAAACGGAGATCGAACACTTTGTGAACGATGAAAGCTCAAGGAAAAAGTGAACTCAAAACTGTGAAATGTAAGCATACAGTAACAGCACGCGGAATCAGCATGAAGCGAAAGGAAAATGGGAAAGTAGAATGTTTTTGGTACTGTACATTACCCTGCGGTGTTTTCGAAACTTACATTATACCTTGTGTAGAAAAATCTCAAACTGCGAAGTTTTTATTTATTTTTTTCTGATTTTGTTTGTCAATGAACTAAATATATAATTGTTGTATTAAAAAAAAGTTAATGTATAGGAGCATTTGATGTCGAGATTAAATTTCCGTGACATCAGCTGATGGCGATCGGGCCTTGTGACAAAATTCGAAGTCAGCATGGAGTTTAGCAGATAAGATTATCAACGCGTTAGAATTAAACTTTAGGAAGAAATGTTTAGCGAGAAATATCATATTTGAAGCCAATGCTACACGAAAACAAGTAAGCATTTCCGATTTATGTGTTAAATTTAAGCCTGAATCGAACAGGTGGTCAAAATGGCGTTGGACATCTTGTGTATTTATATATTTAAGGAGTAGAATGTTTCGATATTTGGCTAATTTAGAGACTTACTGAAAAAAAATTCAGGTGCCTGTGATTAATTATACGGCACCCCTCATGAACAATAAATATTTGACCGAATTATGCCACTGGGCACAGGGAGGACAGGTTTATTACTGGCTACAGGGGTTTAGGGTTATTACTGACTGCAAAACATCGGAGAATCTCTCGATCGAGTTTCAATTTCCAAAATATTAAGGCATCCCTTTCACTAACATAGGTAATACTAGTACACGAAGAAAGCCTTTATATAAAAATACTGAATACATCTGTAAGTTGTACAGTTATGGATTACTTCCTTAATGGAACGTTTGTTTTCTTCTCCTTTTTTAGCTCACCTGAGCCGAAGGCTCAAGTGGGCTTTTCTGATAACATTTTGTCCGGCGTCCATCTGTCCGTCTGTCCGTCTGTCTGTCTGTAAACTTTTCACATTTTCGACTTCTTCTCAAGAACCACTGGGCCAATTTCAACCAAACTTGCCACAAAGTATCCTTGGGTGAAGGGGATTCAAGTTTGTTGAAATGAAGGGCCACGCCCTTATTCAAGGGGCGATAATAGGGAATTAATGAAAATTTAGTGGTATATTTCAAAAATCTTCTTCTCAAGAACAACTGTGCCAGGAAAAATGAAACTTATGGGTAAACATCCTCAGGTAGTGTAGATTCAAGTTTGTTCAAATCATGACCCCCGGGGGTAGGGCGGGGCCAAAATGGCCGACCAAAGTTTTACATAGAAATATATAAGAAAATTCTTTAAAAATCTTCTTCTAAAGAATGACAAAGCCATAATTCATCATATTTATATGGGAGCACGCTCAGGTAGTGTATATTCAAGTTTGTTCAAATCATGACCCCCGGGGGTTGGGCGGGGCCAAAATGGCCAACCAAAGTTTTACATAGAAATATATAGGAAAATTCTTTAAAAATCTTCTTCTCAAGAATGACAAAGCCATAGTTCATCATATTTATACAGAAGCATGCTCTGGTAGTGTAGATTCAAGTTTGTTCAAATCATGACCCCCGGGGGTAGGGCGGGGCCAAAATGGCCGACCAAAGTTATACATAGAAATATATAGGAAAATTCTTTAAAAATCTTCTTCTCAAGAATGAAAATGCCATAATTCATCATATTTATATGGAAGCATGCTCAGGTAGTGTAGATTCAAGTTTGTTCAAATCATGACCCCCAGGGGTAGGGCGGGGCTAAAATGGCCAATCAAAGTTTTACATAGAAATATATAGGAAAATTCTTTAAAAATCTTCTTCTCAATCATTTTCTAAAAAATAGCAAATCCATGATTGGTCATGAGACTACTTTTGGATTTAAACTTTACAATAAAAAGCCGTTTTATACTAGTCCTACCCTTGGTACTCAGGTGAGCGATGTGGCCCATAGGCCTCTTGTTTCAATTGAAATTATTTAAAAGATGATAAAAGCTTTGTTTCCAGGGAAAAATTGATTTCCAAAATGTGTGAATAGGTAGAATGAACCCACCTGCTGACCCGCAGTGAGCCTACAAAACTGGAGCTCTCTGAAATTACCGTAATTATTCTCTGCTCGTCCATCCGGTTTTTTTTTTTCAGACTAGCCAGCTAAAGATCTATGTACAGTACCCCAAATCAATTAATCTAAAGAATTTGAATCATTGTTTTATTTTCGTTTTTTAGTTGTTTGCTATAGAGCCTTAACAGTTACCTAATTTCAGAATCAATAGAGCATGAAAGCCAATAAAATTTGCAACATCAACATAATTTTTTTTTCGTTCTGAGCACTTTTGGACGCCACTAATGGAGACAATTAGGGATTTTTGAAATTGAACTTTGTGTATTTCAAACTGAAAATTGCAGGTTGATATACTGAAAGGAAAAAGAAACGCAGGGTAGCATAATTTTCGAAAAAAAATTGACCACATGACCGAAAATTACGAAAATTGGAAAGAGGGGAAATTGAGTTACTGTGCATCAAAATCAGTATTCAGAACTACCGGTACTTAACCGCAAAATTTATGACGTTACGTAGGGAAAACGCTAAAAAGCCCTAAACACGTGCAATTTATTTACGACGAGTTTGTCAACAAATCTTGTTGCAATATTTGATGCATATGAGGTATGCACATCGTTTTTCAATGTTAAAACACATGATGAATTTATGGCAATCTTGGCACAGTTAACGGAAGTTCAATGGGGTCTTGTTTTCGAATTGCCTAATTAACGAAAAAAGGCAACAACGGTTTACTAAGCAGTCTATTGTACATTTTCCCACATAAAACTTTTTACCCGTTGTGAGAGAGGGTCTGGAATGGTTTTCAATCAACCGTGACGATGACGATAACGCGAAACAGAGCCATTTTACGAGCGAGTTATTCGTCCTGCCATATCTTAAATCGTCACCTTACTACCACAAGAACAGCCATTTATAGAGAAGACGATTACTAGTATAATCATTACATTCATACGAAATTTGAAAGAAAACAATTCCGCAATTTGTTTTTTTTAGCCAGTCAACTTACGGTTGTATTGCTCTCACTGGCGCATGCGAGCGCCGTTTGACTTATTTTTTGCGTGGTTACCCATGGTAAATATAGCCAGGGTTTAACGGATAAACACTCTGATGAAATTCCATGCAAAGGAGAAACAAGACTCTGACAAATGCACGAGATGGACATTGAAGATAATGCGAGTTTTCGATTTTCACTTTTGGGGGATATCGTCATTTGAGATTCAATAACTCATGAATTATTAGACAAAATCGTATGAGAACTTGGTTATATCTTTTTGAAAGATGATTTTAAAAGTTAGATAGGAAAACTAAAAAGTAACTCAAGAAAATCAAATTTAATTCACATCAAAAGTTTACCCTGCGTTTCCTTTGCCTTTCAGTATATTTTGAAACAAACATTTGTGACATAACTCTGGGATGTTATTGATTATACCATTTACATGTAGTTAAGTACTACAAAATTCATTGTGTTTGCTTCTTCGCTGATGACACTGGAAAAAGATATGCATGCCTACTTTAATATCAGCATTCAATGCATTTTTGTTATTGTACACTGTACATATTCGATGAAAGCATGCTAACCGCTTTTCAGTACTTTCAGTACTTTGATTGTATCTTAGTTTTCAATGATTTATCATTAATTGATTTTCATCCTATGATCATTATATGACTGCATACTTATATGATACATGTACATATATCTATTAAAGAGCTGGTGGAAGAAAAGGGGATCATTCTTTGGCCAATTGAACAAATGCTTGTCTGAAAGTCAAACTTTAAAAGAACTAATTTCTCCCAGAAGATATTTTGAAGTCGAATGTCCAGGAAAGACATTGACAAATGATCAGGAAGAAAAAATTGAAGAAGTGAGGAATTGTATAGTTGAAACTGTAAAACAACTACCTCATTGGGGAGAAAAAATTCCACTAAAATGGGCAAATCTTGAAGAATTTCTTCGGATGAGGAAGGAAGAGGGAGTCAAAGTTATTAAAAGACAGGACCTTAAAGCCAATGGCGAAATTGATTTATCTGATGACGATGACCTTAATGATGCACTCAGATTCTTTCATGAAATAGGACAACTTATCTATTTTTCTGAGAAAGAAATGAAGAATGTAATTGTTATCAACGTTCAGTGGTTTGTTGATGGCTTTAAATACATCATAACAGACGAGACTCATCTGGCAAGAAAGGACTGTAACAGTACACTTATTAAGGCGGGAAAAATAACTGGAAAAGAAATAGAAGAAGTGTGGAGAAAAGTCGATTCAGAAAAATCCTATATTCATCATAAACAAGATATTTTGCCATATCTGGATAAACTCGGCTTAATGACAAAAATTCAAAGCAAAGACAATGAAGCTTATGATGAGCTGTATTATATCCCAAGCATGAACAGAATAGATCTTGCAAAAGAATATAAGGAAGCAATTAATGGAGGACAAAAAACGTCCATCATACTGTTCCATTTCAAATCTTATTTGCCTCATTTTTTCTTTTTTCGATTAGTTGTCAAATGCTTACATAAATGGAAAGCCCTCAATATGGAGATGTTTTGTAAAAATGCAGCATTTTATAAGATGGATGATGCAGGCCATTACATTGTAATTGCCGTTAACAAAACATCTATCCAACTGCAGGTGTTTACGCCTGAGAAGGGAATGGATTTGCAAACCGAGAGTGCCATAGAAATAAGAGAAACAGTGAAGAGTATGATCCATGAAATAACACAAACTTTCCACAGGCAAACTAAGTATGAGATAGGGTATACCTGTAAAGATATAAACATTACAGAAGAAGACGAAGAGTTCTTTTTGACAGAAGAAGAGGTTAAAGCGCTAAAAACAGAAACAGGAAAAAGACGTTGTCCGAAACATATAATGGGAAAACAGATCCACGACATCGATAAAAATGAAATACTGCGTTTTTGGTGGAAGGAAGATACTGCTTCTTCTCCAAGAGACAATCATCAAATTATTAATGAATCTGAATAGGAAGCAGACCCTTAAATTATTCAATGAATAGAATACGATGCTTAATAATTACTTACGTATATTGTATTCTTATGAGAATTCCTACTATATTTATTTGGCAAGTGATATCATTCAAATATTCATTGTACAGTGTAAAATTATTGTCCGATCAATGTTATTTTATAAGTATTTATAATGTTTTATGCTTTATCTTACTAATTTGCTCATGAATGTAAATACTGTAGCACATCATGGCAAGAGTGTTCTTTTATTGCTAAAAATTTGTCTTGTTTATGAAAATATATATATATTCACTACGCAATCTTTCAATTACAAAATAACGATAAAGCGGATGAAATTCTTAAAAATATGATGACTAATTTGTAAAGGTATGACCTTTTTTATTCTCGTGTTATATATGTACATATATGTGCTTTAAATTTGCGAAAATTGTATATGCGATTTCAAAAAAATGTACTGACTATGTTCTAAAAAACAGACCTTTTGCAAAAGAGAAGCGATGTGTGAAGGATTTGGATTCATTTCATGTGTCTTCTGCAACCTAAAAAATAGATTGTTCAGATAGGAAATGGGAACCCATTTTAAAGTAAACAGAAACTCACGCATTACGTCACTTACAACTCGTAAAACCGTAATCACGCTTTTTTACGAGATGTAATTCTTGAACTTTATTGGTTTTACTTTTACTTGGCGTTATAAATATCCGGAAATGTTTTTGCTCCGAATTGGTCATGTCAACAAACTAACAAAAATTGATTTTACAGTTTTAGATTAGTTCATAGAGTTCAGAGAATTCATTAAGTATTAAAGATAAATATAACGACATTTCTGTGAATGAAACATGTTTGATATGCCGATTGTATGGAGCAACTTTTACTTGGCGTTATAAATATCCGGAAATGTTTTTGCTCCGAATTGGTCATGTCAACAAACTAACAAAAATTGATTTTACAGTTTAAGATTAGTTCATAGAGTTCAGAGAATTCATTAAGTATTAAAGATAAATATAACGACATTTCTGTGAATGAAACATGTTTGATATGCCGATTGTATGGAGCAAGGATATGCTGTATGTATCAAAGTTGAGGCGATTATTGTCCACGGACAAGTTGATATAAATAGTGATAATACCTAAGAAAAGAATTGACCTAGACAAATTGATGTTTTTTTTAATTTTATTGATCGATCATTGCAACAATCTCTTTGAATGGTAATTATTACAGAAGACGCAAATTACCCCTCCCCCTTCAACCTGCTTACCAATCAATCACAAAGCAAAATCATTTTTTTATATTAGTATACAAAAATAGTTCATTCACTTGAAACATACAAACCTTCTGTAGCAAAATTACCCAGTTTGTGAGATTCAACCAATAACGTTCAGATTCATTGCCTCTAATTAATTGACAAGTTTGTTTTATTTTTTTAAGTTAGGATAAATTTTATCAAAAATAGGTTTTGGTGTGTATTTTGTTGTATTTTGTTGATAAAAGTATATACTCAAAGTTTAACAGTACTATAATTGGAAAGTGCGGCAATATATATTCATTTAATTTAATCATTTTTTTTAATGTAAGAGTACATAATTGGATTGGACTTCAGACATTGACTATGTAAGTCCTCTCCAAGCAATATATATTACTTTTGGAAGCAAAAAAAATCAATGGGGTCCCACTAATGTAGAGCTCATACCATAAAAGTAATGCGTCAACATCTATATTTAAGTTCATTTGTTTTTTTTCTTAAATGTTATTTGGTAAAAATAAAAGTTTTTCAGGAGTCCATAAAATTTTTTATTATTACCGAGATTGAACCGTGAAGAATATTTTCTCATGCTGAATTTTAATTCGTTAGCCCAACAAAGTGCAAATATTCATATTAATCCACACAAAATAATGATTATGTATGGTTTATATTCAACGAAATCTGGGATAAGTTAAGGTAATTCAACCCTTCTATGATGTCAAATATTTTTGCAAAAACTCTAATAAGTTTAAAGCCATACCAAATAGAACAATTTCTCCTTGATGAATGCTTTACAATAGGTGAAATGATAAATATTGTTTATTTAAAGAAGTTTAAAAAATGCATAGTTTCTATATTTAATCAATTACTCAATCTTTAAAGAAAATTTACAAGGGCAATAACTCCTCTTAAGGTCTCTTCATTCAGGCATTTGTTTTATGGTAAAATAGTTTCCCTGATATTCATAACTCAAAAGTATCTTTTAAGAAGGCAGTATTAAGGAATTATGCATTTTAACCAGTGCTATAGTGTCTTGAGTTACAAAAACGGTTAATGACGTGTATCATTAGGGTGAACATATAAAAATTGTATAAAGTTAACAGCAAAATGTTTAAGATAATGAAATTACGTAAAGAATTAATGTAGTAAAACTTCCCTAAGTTATTTTTGTGTAAGTATTTTACACAGACACATGATATTATATGTTTCTTGATATGTTGAAACACAAAATCAAATTTCTAAATATAAAACCACATTAAAGCTACACAAGACTCGTACACATACAAATGTTGGCATAAGTCATATACAATTATTATATCCGTTTGATATTTTAGATGTATGTTCAGCTTTAATTCACTTTACTATCTAGCTCTCATAGAATTCTTTTTTAAAGATATATTATTCTATGGTACACTTGCAGAGGAAGTCTTCAATGAATAAAGAATTATCAAGTACGTTTCAATGACGGTAGTGATTCGAATACACAATTGTTCGCAAAATTCCAGAAAGTTTCATGATGAAAATTCCAATAACAACGGAAGTGACGACAAGGCTACGTGCACGTCTCGACTGCGCTTGTGCTTCTACTTCATCTCCCTCTGCTGCTGCAGCGTTGGCCTGAATTAGAATGACAATTACTTGAAAATATATGACATTTTTTACAATTAAGTTTCTTTCATAACTTCTGTCCAAACCCAGATTTACATATATCCCTTTTCTCCCCTTCCCAACGATGAAATTTTTTATGTAAGCTGCAATTCCCTGTGCTCAAGTTAAAGTTTAAATTTGATAATGATGTCTTATAGAAAGAAGCCATTAAAAGATATTATACTTTGACAGATTAAAGTCAAATCGATTACAAAGGTGCTTCTGTGTTCACATACTGTTAATACATTATGTAGTCCATTCAATTAGCGAAAATAAAAGTTCACTCCAAAAGAAAACGCTAAAGATTATTATATTAAATTAAAACATATATTACAACATTTAAGTCTAATTTTGCCCTAATTAGATTAGCTGTGGATACTTCTGTTGCAAAAGAGGTTATGTCTGAGTTTGAGATAAATAATTTGAATCTAACTTTTTGTGCGCCCATTTGTTAATTTTAGCATATTTTAATATAAGATATTCACATCCGACTCTAAATATTCTCTCATTTTATTTCTACAGAAAGCCTTTGTTCTTTATCAGTCAATACACCCCTAGCATATCAACCGTACGGATGTCCTGAGCTGTGCTCCTCCATTATGACACCCAAAGTCCAATATTGAATTTAAATGTACTTAATACTGTTTTAGATATATATTTGTATGAATATAATTATAAACAAGAAAATGTCTTTTGTTAAATGTACCAAAATTAATGTTACAGCAAGTGTAAAAAAAGATTACCTAACCCGTTTTCTTTTTTACAATTTCTTACAGATGCAACAACTATTTGCCTATTAACAAACCAATGAAAGCATTTTATTATTATTTTTAAAAACCGTTAGATAGGATTGAAATTGAATATGAATAGACCATTTAGACCCTCATACATGAACTGAAAACAGAGAGACATAGAGACAAACTTGAAGGGTATCTCATATATTTCAGCCATCTAAAAACGTTTATTTTAGGGCTAAATAAAACTAAAATTTATATGCTTAAATAATATTATAGCAATATTTCTATATCTCCTCTGATTTGTGAAATTCTTTTCTACATATATTCATTACAAAGGATTTCCTATAACAGATAGCTTGATTTTTTTATCATAAATATACTACATGTAGGCAATATAGATTGCACTCAAGTTATACACGTATTTACTTGGCAGCCAATATATGAATCTCTTGTCTATTCTTCATAGTCATAAAATAAGAGTACTAAATTCACATACGAATTTTAATATCAATGCTTCAATTCGCCTATCATAAATGCAAAATAAAAAGCAGACCAAGAGAGCCCTTGTTTAGGAGAGTATACGAGAGTGATATTTCATAATTTTTCCATTTCTATTTTTTTTCTCTGTGATAACTCATTGAAAGTTGACAGAGTCGATTCCTTGATAATTCTAACAAAATGTAAATAGGCGATCGATAGGAGCTAAGGAGGCCTTAAAGGCGTGCAAATCTCGTGTGCATCTGTCTCTCTGTCTTACGATAAGGAGGTCAAATATGCATAAATCTCGTGCAGATGTCTTTGTGTTTGACATCAGTCGGCAAGCACTATTGAAATTTGCATAGGAGTCATCGTGTGATTTGTATCTCTAAATCAACAAGTTTTACAATAAAGTGGAAACATAAGGAAACTCTGTCTTGCTAATATAGTATGCCAGGGACATCAATGTTATGCAAATTATTCCATGTTTCCCACTATCGCTGATGCCCTGGCATACTAAACTAACTAGACAGTGATTCCTTAAATAACGTATACAGCTGCCTCTACGTTACTTATGATTGAGAAACTCGTCTTAAAAATAGTTATTCCTTTAAATGCTGAAATCACTAAAAATGCAAGTAAATTCATTTCTCCAAATACCTTGCAAGCTGCAAAAATGGCAAAAATTCCTGTTGGCCAAAAACAGCATTAACAAGAAAGAATGGCAGGCAGTGTCCAATCCTGTCTGACGGGCCGAGATATCACCATGGTAGTAGAACCAGGCTGATTGACATAATAAGAATTAGCAGAAATGACTTTTTGAATAGTTATCTTGGTTTTAATATATTAAGGCTACATCAAGGTATCCAATTCACCTATATACAATATGATATCATAGGAAGCGGTAAATATTGAACTTTATCGATACTGTTTTCTTAATATGCGCACGTACATGCATGTGCATGACTGACTACCATACCTTCGTTTAGGTATTAATTATGTCTCTGTTCTAAATTTCATCTTGTTTTGCTGAAATTTCAATTTTATGTTTTAGGCGATCAGATTGTAGCACACATACATGAGCGTCATTACATTTTTTTTTTTAGAAATATATATCATATGGTAGAACATCTTAGACTATAAATATGTTTTAAATTTAAATGTATTTTCAAGTTTTCAGAAAAACAAGAAATGTATTTCGATTTTCATTTTAACAGGAAAAAAGGATATCATAAAAATTTCTTGATCGAATACGTATGTAAAAATGTAAATAGTTAGGCAATGTTTCATGCTAAACTTTGGAATTTTGTTTTCAGTGAAGAAAAAGCAGGATTTTAGCAGCACTTTTCATGACCAAGTTATATTTATTATTTTTCTTGTTACCTAAAAAATGAATATTGTTTAAACTAACTAATTATTCAAATGGAAAATCAAAATTTACCAAAAAGCTCTGGATACTAGCTAAACACAGACCTGTATCTATCATGTTTTTTTTTAATTTCCTTAAAATAACACCTTACCACCACATTGTGATTCAATCCTTGTGGAGCACCCGGTACGTGTTGATATGGATAGGGACCAGGAGAACTACACTTTGGAGGATATTGGTAACCGGGATACTGTCTTGTAGCGCCACCTGGCGGCTGATACTGGCTGTACTGGTTCTGATGTGAAAAGAGGGGCTGGGATT